TCTTTTATTGGAACAGACATGTAGGTGAAATTAACTGGGCTAGAGTGTGGGTTTTGCCTCAAAAATTATTTTTGTACAATAAGATAAATAGCATCGGTGCTATCCCACAAAATGTTTTTTACAAAGGTTTATTTCTGAGGATTTTGATGTAAATTGCTCCTTCTGTGGTCTCCAAACTGAAGATTTGTCTCATTTATTTTGGTATTGCGAGTATACTAAGAATCTGTGGAAAAACATTTTGAGTATTTTTTGTGGTATAATTCCTGAAATTTCATTGAAATATGAAAATGTTATTCTGGGTTATACACATTTTAAAAGAGAACAATCAGATGTTTTCTATTTACTCAATCTTATTTTGTTTCTCGCCAAATATTTTGTACACAAATGTAAATATTGTAAGTGTAAGCCTTTCTTTAACCTTTTTCTGGAAGAGTTAAAACTGTATATGTATTTGATTTCTGACTCTTCCAATAAGAAAGCTGTAAAAACTGTGAATCTTTTTAAAAGGTACATTATTTTCTTGCTCCCTGGCATGTAGTATACTAATGTCATTCTGTGTTTCATATATTATAATAAAAAAAAAATAAAATAAAAAATCACTGAATGATGTGTCTTTGGTCGCAGATCTGAGATGATTGGAGAAAAAGCTATTTTCCATTGAAATCAAGTCTGTTTACATCAAAAACCCACAGTATGACGTACAAAACTCCCTTTTGTGCAAATGTTTTTGGGCGTTGATTGGTCAGAAACACCTGTCACATGTCTCTGGTGACCAATCAAAAATCAGCATCACTGCGCATCAGCACAGTAAACGAGTGTTCGGCTCAAACGCGAGGTTCTCGATATAATCGTACGCTTCTTCACTCCGATTTGTCTTTCCTATTTCCAGTGAACGGAACTTTATTGGCTACTGTCGACCCCACCGTGGACACGCCCCCTGCCACCGCTGAAACCCCGCCCTTCACCAGGCCGACGCCCACCGAGGGCCCCGCGGTCACTGCTGATTTGGTGATCTCCAAACGTTTCCCGCCCAGCCAGGTAACTCCGCCCACCGTGGCTCTGACCACGCCCTTCGTGTCGCTGAAGAGGCCGCCGGTCACGCGCCAGATCATGGTGGGCGGAGCCACAGGGAGCTCTTTACCGCCATCTGCTGCGAAGAAAATAACAGCGATGCATTTAATTAGCGTCTTTTAACACTCGCAATATATTCAACATTAATGACTAGAATTAGAAAAAAAACGGGTTATTTCTTCTGGGTCATATTTAACCCCAAAATCAAAAGACAACAAAAAAAACGTATGCATCAGAAACCATTACTTTAAAAAATGCATTATTTTTACTGCATGACAGTAATGAGAATTTAAAAAAAATAACATTTTGCATTGAAACATTCATTTCAATATTTTTTATTGCACTCTAGTAATAATTTGGAAAATATTTATTACTTTTTTAAAACTGAGACATTAATTTCATTATTTTATTGCATTATAGTAATGCAAAATATTTTTTTCTTTTCTTTTTTTGCATGAAAACAATTTCAGTATTTTTACTGCTTTATAATAGTGAGAGTGTGGGAAAAATAATTACTTTTTTGTACTAAAACACTATTAATTTCATTATTTTTACTGCATTATTGTAACATGATTTTTTGGAAAATAATCTAAAACATTATTAATGTTATTTTTATTGCATTATAATAAGATCATTTTGTATTGAAACATTAATTTATTCATTTATTGCATTATAGTTATGCAAGTTTGGGCAAAAAAACATTACTTTTTTTGCATTAAAACAATTTCATGATTTTTACTGCATCATCACAATGAGAATATGGGGAACTTTTTTTTGTAATGAAACTTAATTTAATGATTTTTACTGCATTCTTGTAATGTGAATCTGGAAAAATAATCTATGTTTTTAATGAAAACATTATTAATGTCATTATTTTTATTGCATTATAATAAGAAGAATTTGGAAAATTTTAATTACTTTTTTTTTAAACTGAAATATTATTAATTTTAGTTGTAGATAATAGGCAGTTATGCTATATTTGCAGTTAATGTGAGAAACACCTTAATAGCGATCATAACCAGATGCTAGGTGTCATATTTTTAGTCTTTCTGCAATCTTTCTCTCTCTGTAGGAGGTTGTATGAGTTTCAGTGAAGACTGCCCATTAAAGCAATACAAGAAAGAGCTTCCCTGAATGCTGTTGGTTGCCTTGTGTTGTTGTTTTTTTTATTGAGTCAAATTCCGTATTTGCTGGCCTTTTTTAACATTCACTTATATTGTCTTCTAACATAAATGTCATGAAATAATACTGGGATGAGAGTAATTCATCTTTTTAAATTCAACATTTAAAAAAAAAAAAAAAAAAAAGCAAAACTTATAAACATTGTAATTTGTAAACGCCTCTAATTTGCCTCTTTGCACTGGAATTTAAAAACATTTTCTCTATTTTAACCCTAAATACTACGCTAATTGTAATATAAATAATAAGCATATTAGAAAAGATATTAATGCTGTCTCTTTATCACCCCCCAGAATTCCCAGAAGGGAACCTCATTAATATTCATGAGCTCGGCCTTCGCCGTAGTAGGATTGGCTAATTCGACGCCCGGATCTTAGAGTTAAAATAGAGTTCAAATGCCGTCATCTGTTCAGTATAACATGATTCTGTTCGTCGATTCGCGTGTCGATGTCGATGAAGTAATACTGTGGTCTGATTGGGCAGTTCTAGAGTCACATGACCTCTCTGCTCAACTGTAGCGTCTCTGGCGTTCAGCTGCAGGGGCGGGACTTATGATCCGCGTCACGGCTGAAACGTTTGTACGTTCCGTGATGCTCCGCCCCCTCCAGAAGCTCCTCCCTCCTGCAAAAAACAACAACAAAAACACATGGCATTTCAATCATGTTATGGTCCAAAACACTATTACTAGGGTAAATATCAAAAACATGGTATTTCCATCATGATAAGGTTCAAAACATGGTATTACCAGGGTAAATGTAAAAAAACATGGTATTTCCATCATGATAAGGTTCAAAACATGGTATTACCAGGGTAAATGTAAAAAAACATGGTATTTCCATCATGATAAGGTTCAAAACATGGTATTACCAGGGTAAATGTAAAAAAACATGGTATTTCCATCATGATAAGGTTCAAAACATGGTATTACCAGGGTAAATGTAAAAAAACATGGTATTTCCATCATGATAAGGTTCAAAACATGGTATTACCAGGGTAAATGTAAAAAAACATGGTATTTCCATCATGATAAGGTTGAAAACATGGTATTACCAGGGTAAATATCAAAAACATGGCAT